CACTCTTGCCATGTTGCACTAGGCGTGTTGAAACTCTGCGGGGGACTTCCGCCACCGTGCCTGCACGTGGTGGGCGCGCTGGAGCGCTTCGCTGCTGCCTGGAAGGCTGACTCGTCTCTCCAGGGTCACCCCCCCCCTCCCAGCGCGAAACCTCGGCAAACCGCCCCCCCTTCTGAAACTGCTCTCTGGCGTGCGTGTTTTTCTGCCTCCAGACCGCCAGGGTGGCCTCCAGGACGGCCTCCAGGAACGCCAAGATGACACCAAGACGCCTCTCGAGAGTGCCCAAGACCGCTCAAGAGGCCCCCAAGAAGGCCTCAAGACCGCCCAAGAGGCCTCCAAGACGCCCCAAAAGGTATCCACAAGGCTCTCCAGGAGAGCCTGGAGAGGCAAACACTATTGATCCGAATGAGGCGTTTTTTTTTCTCTTGGCCAGCGTCTTCGCGCAGCACCTGTCTGTAACACTGCAAACTATGTGACAGAAGTATTGAAAGGTATTCAATCTCTTTCCGAGAGCAGGCCAGCGCGATGCCTTCGCGACGGCGGGAGGCGGGAGGCGAGAAGGGGGGGAACCAATGAGAGTCGAGGAGGTGGTGCCCTTCGGCGCTGCTTTAAAGTCGGGCAGAGATGGCCCGACAATTGCAGAAAGTACCGGCTTACAACTGGTAGTAGGTGTCCAGTGCTGCATATTGGGGAATATGTCTTATGGTCCCCAGCCTAATGGCACAAAATCGGCACAGGGTGCCACGTTGCCACCAGAAGGTAGGAAGGTGGGTTCCACTCGCCTTTGAAACCGTTACCGTGTCACGTCGTCCTCTGTGGCAAAACATGCTCGGCGAGGTTGCCTCACGCGGGGAAAGAAGAGTGGATGCTCAAGACACAAGGTCTGAGGCTGACAGTGGCTGCGCGCGCCACATTTCTCAACGGTGGCGACCATTTAGCGGGCTGGATCAAAGTTCACAAGAGCACCTTACTGCGTCTAGGCTGTACAATGCACAAAAGAAAAACTAGCGAATCCATCCAGGCGGCGGGCGACGCCACTCATCGTTGCTTCCCTGGTCCGTGGACCCCACCCCTCGATCCATAGCTTCACCATCCCTGGGAAAACCGCCGAGATGGTTGTGGGCGCCGCAGCCGCGCCGCGCTCGCACGCACCGGCATACGTAGAGTATTGGGCGTCACACGCACTGCTTTGGGGAAGATCGCATCTGCAACACCCAGCTTTGTGGCACACAGTCACAGCGAGAACTATTCGGCTTGGGGCACCGTGATTTTACAAAGTCTCCCCAGCCTGCTCTGAAATCGAAGCCCTCTCTCGATTATCAATGATTCCTCTTTCTCCTCTTCCTCCACCACCTCCACTTTTCCCTGCCCTTCCCCCCCTCCACCCCCTCCTCGCGGGGCTGGTCGTCCGGGCGCCACCTTGTCCGCCCTGGTGGATCAAATATTCTCGTTGCCCTCCTTCACCTCCAGGTCGTCGTTCTTCTTCTTGTTCTCGATCGGCACCGTGAACTGCGCCTCGATCTGGGAGAGGGTGAACATGGGCGCGAATATGCCGCAGAGAAGGTCCGTGGCGATGTCGCCATGCTCGATGAAGTGCTTCACGCGCATGTGGTTGCGGAGCAGGCCAACGAAGGTACCGAACCCGATGTAGAACGTGCAGCCGATGAGCGCCCATTGGTAAAGGGCCGCAGTACAGATGGTGACAATGATTGCCACGTAGTACAGCAAAGAGAAGGCGCCCGTCCACAAGCCAAACGTGACGCCCGGACCGAGGCCAGAGAAAGGCCATTTGCCGACGTGCACCACAGCCCTGCCCATGGTTAAGCCAGGCACGGCCGTGTTCTTCAAGTGAAGTACGATATTCTTCGCGTTGAAGATGAACGTTGAGAAGGCTTTCCGGTTAGGGTCGAGCCCACCGTTCTCCTCCTGGCACAAGATCACGAGCGACTGCGAGCACCAAAACATGACAAATGTATAGGGCAGGCCCGTGATGATGGACGCCGCCTGGAGGGCCTTCAGAGCAGCGTCTGGATCTTTGGCGTTGTTGCCAGAGTACAGCAAGGCAATGGCGGTGGCCCCTTCTGTGAAGGACCAGAAGACGCGCTGAAACACGGGGGGGTCTGGGTGGCCGTTGGAGGAAAGGATGTCCACCACGAACGATCCAGAATCCGACGAGGTCACGAAGTAGAACGTCAAAATCATGAGCGTGAGCGCGCACAGCATGTCGGAGTAGCCCCGCGGACCGTACGAGGAGATCTGGTCGAAGAGGATGTCTGCCGTAGCCTGGTTGTACAGGCACACGGTACCATCCTGGAGAGGCACGAAGCAGTCCGGCTGGCTGGTGTTCGGGAACTGGTCGTAATTGTCAGCGGCCAGCTCGTTGATTTCGGTCATGTACTTCTCACACTCAGTACCTTCGTATGCCGATATGTCGATTGCGGTAGGATCGGGTTTCGCGCCGCACGGCACTTCCTCCCACGAGGTATGCTTAACGCACTGCTTGCCCTTTCCGTCTTGGGAAGGATCCACGTACCTGGTGAACTTCGCCCTCTTGCACCTGCCGTATCCGCCGTGGTAAGCATCGTCCAGCACGCACCCGGGGGTCCAGCCCATGCTCAGATTCTGCTTATCCGTCAGAGTGTACTGATCAGACCAGGACGATCCCCCACCGTAAGCTTGAGAGCACAGGCCCGCTGAGTCTGCCATGCGCTGCATGCGAATGCCCTCGGTGCCCCACACGCAGAACCAGACAATGCTGTAGAGGGTGGGCACAATGAGCGTGGACATGATGAAAACTCGAAGGGTCCTGCCTTTGGAGATCCTCGCAATGAATGTGCCAACAAACGGGCCCCAAGAAATCCACCATCCCCAATAGAAAATGGTCCAATCAATGATCCACTTGTTTCCGCTAGTGCCAGAACCACCGAGCCCCATGTCTTTGGAGCCGAGACGCTCCCAAGCGTCGCAATGGAATCCAATCTTCACGATGTACCACAAGTAGTAACCAGTAACCTGCACAATGTTGTCCAGAATGAGGTAGGTCTCGCCGTTCAACGCCACGACAATCATTAAGAAGGTCCCCATTGCGAAGACGCACTGTGAAAGGAACTTGATACCAGAGCCGAGGCCCATCACCACCGACACTGTCGACATGCAGGTGATGATCAGGATGATGAGGATCATGGTCGTCGTGTTTCGTTGGATGCCGAAAGATTCCTGACCATCATCACAGGAATATCCCTGGCCACCACATCCAGGAACTGAATACTTGTCCTCGTTCGGGATGGCAAAATTCTCCCCGTGGTGAGTCCCCCAGCTGAGGCGCTGCAGGCCAGCGTTGATCGACATGGCGCCCAGTCCGAGGGACGTGCAGACGCCTGCGATAGAAGTCACGATGGAGAGGGCATCCACGGTGTCTCCCATCCATCCATAAACGTTGTCGCCAATGAGAGGATAGAACGCGTACCGGACGGTCATTGGGTATCCACGCCGGTAAGTCATGATGCCAAGCGTAGCCCCCATCACCACGTAGGGGATCCAGCCATGAACGCCCCAGTGGAAGACGCTCACCATCAGCGCGTGCGTCGCGTCCTCGTCCACGTTGCCGTAGCCCTTGACCGTGGAGAGGAACCTTGGGGAACCCCAGCCTTTGAAGTGCCACATCGGCTCCGCAACTGCGTAGTAGAACAGGCCTGTGGCGACACCGCAGCAGAACAACATTGAGAACCAAGTCGCAGTGCTGAACTCCGGTTCATCGTCGTCCTTTCCGAGCTTCAGCTTACCGTGCTGGACCATAGCCCAGAGCAAGACAATGACCCAGATGTCCTGCGAGACGATGTAGAACCATGTCCACACCTCAGGGATCCAGCCCCAGGCGACTTCGTCCATAGCGAACTTCATGTAGTCTGGCTCAACGCAGCAGAGGATCACGAAGACCCACAGGAAGATTGTCGAGCAAATGAACACGAGGGGATTCATCACGACGACCCCTTTCATCTCAAAGTGCCAGCACTTCCTCATGTGCGCTTCCGTCTCTGGCGGGGCCTCCTCATACTTGCAAACCGATGCCAGCGCTGCCATCTCGGCACGACGTTCCGTTTGCAGAGAGCACGCTCCGAACTGGAGAAACTTGAGCCGCAAATTGCTTGAGCCAGAATGGCTTGAGCCAAAATGGCTACGGATTGATCCGAATGAGGCGTTTGAAATATTTGAGGTTCCCACCTGTCTGGGTTTGCGACCGCAAGATGGCCCAAGACGCCTCCATGATAGCTCCAAGGGCCGCCGAGGTCCCCAAGAGGTCCTCAAAAGGCCCAAGAGGCCACCAAGAGAACCCCAAGAGGCCACCTGGAGGACTCGAAGCGGTCCCCAAAAGGTCCCAAGAGGCCCCAGAATTCAAACTCCTTCCTACCACGCTGTTGCACAGGCACGGTGGCGGGGTTTGCCGCAGGCAGCTGGGTACATCTGGAGTCCTACTGTGACTGGTTACACATCGCTTCCCTTGATGGGAGGGGGTACACATGAATTCTTCTTGTGGCAGAGGAGGTGTGGGTCTGGCCCTGGGAGGGACCCAACCATGTGCAGGAGGGGCCCAACGCAGATCCAAGAAATCCGCGCGGCCCGCCGATAGTTATTGTTTATGTATAGTGTGTTCTTCTTCGAGGGAGGAGAAGAGGAGGGGAAGGAGGGAGGGGGGGACGGAAGAGGGAAACCAGCACTGGCAGCAGGGAGGATCGGGAGCGGCAGGGGCCCGGAGCGGCGGCGGCGGCGGCGGCGGCGAGAAGGGGGGAACAGGAGCAGGAGGGAGGAGGGGGCAGCAGGCAGGTGGGGACGAGAGGGGGGGGAAGAGGAGCAGGAGCACGCGGGGGAGAAGCGAGCCAGGGAGGAGGACGACGAGGAGAAACCAGGGAGCATCGGGAGCGGCAGCCGCCGGGGAGGGGGCGGGCGGAGGGCGGAGGAGGGAGGGGGGGGGGCGTCCGGCCGCGCGTTGCCCCCCCCGGGGCCTGGCGCTGGAGCCCAGCTGAGGTTGGACCGCGACGTGAGGGGCGCGGTGAAGTCCTCGATCTGGATCTGGGCCTCTCCCGAGGGGGGGGGGGGGGGGGGGGGGGGGGGGGGGGGGGCGGGGCTGGGAGGGGAAAGGGGGGGGGGAACGGCGAGCAGGGGGGCAGTGAGGCTCAGAAGGGCTGAGGGGGAGAGAGGCTGGGGCGCTGGGGAGCGAGCGAGGGGGGGGAGGGGGGGTGGGGGGGGGGGGTGGGGGGGAGGGCAGAGGAGCAGGAGGGGGGCGGCGGAAGGACGGAGCAAGGGGAGGAGGGCCTCTTAAGTCCAGGGGCTTGTTCTGAATTTCCCGATGGGGATCCTAGGAGGGGGTCGAGAAGGGGGAGGGAAGCGAAGCAGCATGAGGAGGAGGAGGAGGAGGAGGAGGAGGAGGAGGAGGAGGAGGAGCGGCCAGGGAGGGAGGAGAGGGGGAATGGAGGATGGAAGATGGTGGATGGGAGGAAAAGAGGAGGAGGAGGGGAAAGGAGGAGAGGAGGAGGAGATGAGGACGACGGGGAGGAGGAGAAGGAGGAGGAGGAGGAGGACGAGGAGGAGGAAAAAGGTGGAGGATGAGGACGACGAGCGGCAGCAAGGAGAGAAGGAGGACGCCGAGGAGGAGGTCAAGCAGGAGCAAGAGGGAGGAGGCAGAAGGTCGCGATCTGGGCCTTGTGGAGGGCACCGCTCTCCCTGAGGGTGCTTGTGGCGTTCTCGATCCAGCTGCGCAGGCCTTGCGAAGGGGGGGGCGCGGCCCCCTCGTTCGGTGCAGTTCCTCCTTCATCCTTCATCCTTCCTGTCCCGCCTTCCTCCTCCGTCCTTCCTGCCCTGTTCCTCCGCAACTCCCTTCCGGAACTTCCGCCTAACTCCACCTCACTCCTGCCGCCCTCCCTCATTCCGCCTTCCTCCTCCTGCCGCCGTCCTCCTCCTCCTCCTCCTCCTCCTCCTCCTCCTCCCCTCCCCTCCTCCTCGCCCTCCGCCTCCTCCTCCTCCTCCTCCTCTCCTCCTCCCTCCTCCTCTCCTCCTCCTCCTCTCCTCTCCTCCTCCTCCTCCTCCTCCTCCTGCGCACTCCTTCCTCCTCCTCCTCATCCTCCTCCTCATCCTTATCCTCCTCCTCCTCCTGCCGCCCTCCCTCCTCTCCTTCCTCCTCCCTCCTCCTCCTCCTCCTCCTCCTCCTCCTCTCCTCCTCCTGCCGCCCTCCTCCTCCTCCTCCTCCCCTCCTCCTCCTCCCTCCTCCTCCTTCCTCGGCTCCTCCTCCTCCTCTCCTCCTCCTCCTGCCGCCCTCCTCCTCCTCCTCCTCCTCCCTCCTCCTCCTCCTCCTCCTCCTCCTGCCGCACTCCCCCTCTTCCTCCTCCTCCTTCTCTTCTTCTTCGTATTATTATTCATATTGTCATTATTATTAGTATTATTAGTATTAGTAGTATTATTATTATTATATTATTAATATTATTACTATTATTATTAGTATTCTTATTATTATTATTTTAGTATTAGTATTATTATTAGTATTATTATTATTAATATTATTATTATTATTGTTGTTAATATCATTATTATTGTTAGTATTATTAGTATTATGAATACTATTATTATCTTTATTCTTATTACTAGTCTGATTATTAGTATTCGCATTTTTTATTCTTATTATTATTATTAGTATTATTATTACGATTATTATTATTAGTAGTATTATTATTATCATTAGTATTATTATTTTTATTAGTATTAGTATGATGATGTTGATTATTATTATCATTATTATTATTAGTAGTATTATTATTGTTCGTATTATTCTTAGTCTTATTACTAGTAGTATTATTATTGTTCTTATTATTGTTCTTATTAGTGTTATTATTATTATTATTCGTATTATTATTATTATTCTTGATAGTAATATTAGTATCCTTATCCTACGTATTCTTGTTATTATTATTCTTCTTATTAGTATTATGATTATTCGTATTCGTAATATTCTGCTTCGTAGTATTATTAGTAGTATGCTTCTTCTTCGTCTTAGTATTATTAGTATTACTATTATTATTGGTATTATTAGCCTTCGTCTTCGTATTCGTCGTATTATCCTTCTTCTTGTTAGTATTACTACTCGTATTCGTCTTCTCCTTCGTATTAGTATTATTAGTATTATTCCTAATATTATTGTTCTTATTCCTCCTCCTCCTCCTCCTCCTCCTCCTCCTCCTCCTCCTATCCGCCTCC